GAGAGAGAGAGAGAGAGAGAGAGAGAGAGAGAGAGAAGTGTTTGACAATGGGTTTATGTGAATACTGGTGCAGCAACACATTGACTCGTCTCGATCGCCATTGTCGCCGATATTGACTCTTCCTCCCAGAAAAATAGCATTGCTCGAGGGTCGAAGGGATCGGTTCCAAAAGACGGGATTGTTTGAGAACACCTCCGGCAAATACGTCCACCGAAAAAAAGTCAATTGAAACGGAAACACGTCGAGTGGTTATCTGAGAAAACAGAGGAGAGTTAGAGGATCATGGCCGCGGAAGTGGTCGAGTGTTTGGACCCATGCCAGCGAGGATCCGTCGAATCATCCTCGAGCCACCCACAGAAAAAAAACTGTGGCCTGACTGCATCGAAACGATCCCGCCAATCGAGTCCAGAGCAGTCGATTAGTAGCGCTGCCGTCGACAATGGATCGAAATCGATTCTGTTTTCAGATTCGAGACGACACGCAGTGGTCCCAAATTCTGGAAACGTGGTGAGACCCCCCTCCCTACCCCTAAACAGAAGGAATTTCCTCGTAGGTCATTACAACCGTTGTCTAAGATATTTGATTGATGTCTCTGTGGTGGGGTATAGAAAAACATCGTTAGACGTGTATACCTGAATGTCAAATTAAGCTGTAGACGTCAGTTAATTAGTTGCTGCGAAAGTGAGCACAAGTGTGACTTCTGCGGTGTCTAAATTCTTCCAGAAAATAGTGTCTTCGATTCTATGGAGTGGATGCTGTTTGTGGAAGTAAGTAGACTGTTCCTTTTTTAGTATTAGTGTTGCAACAATTGTTAATCATAGAACGTATAAGTTAGTAGTAACATAAAATATAAAGTGCTCTACATACAAATTACAAACATTTAGAGAAAAAGTTAAATGTACTTTTATTTTCGTCTTGCAGCATTTGCAATTTATTCACGTCAGTAGTTTTCACCGTCGTTTCTTTCGAATAATATAATTAACATTAGATATCGTTCTTCAAATTCGTGGCGGTCTGAGTTGTCGATACGATTTCTTCAACTCTGCAGAAATGCCTCAGTTTTGCAAATCAGTAAATTTTGTAGGATTTTCGAGAAATGTTTACCTTTATTCTCTCGATTATCGGCAAGTGTAGATTTCTGCCAAGGAAAGAAATAATTAGTAGAGATGAAAGTAGAGGCTTTACTCTTTAAAACAAGCTGAAAAACAATGTAGTACGCCTTTTTTCGACAAAGTTACCGAAGCTTTAATCTTCCCTTAGTCTTGATGACGAATACAGTTTACTTTCTTACGTGGACAAATCTATCTTCGCTTATTATCAAGTACAGAAGTATTGCAAAAAAATAAACAATTAGTGGAGGTGAAAGCGGAGGTTTCACTCTTTAAAATAAGCCTAAGTAGATTGCGGTACAATTTTCTCTCACGAAGTTACCAAAGGTACAATCGTCCCTTAACTTCGATGTTCAATTCACTTCATTTTTAATTGTGGCAAAACTGTCCCCAGTCACTCGATTATTACTCAGTACAAAAATATACAGAATAAAAAAACGATTAGTGAATGTAAAAGTAGACACTTCACCCTTCAAAACAATCCTAGCACATGACGAAAGTGTTTTTATAATTGTGCTTATAATATGTTCAAATAATTGTCATCCATTGATAAAAATGTAATACCTATCCGATATTTTATTTTTTGAAACTATAAATCCAGATTTGTAAACAGCGACTACGAAAATCTTCCATCATAAATTTTCGATTAAATTTGAATCGTCCCTAGGTTTTGGCTTCGTTTTCGAGATTTTGGACCACTGTGCAGCATGACAGAAGGCTCTCGGCGAGCGCGGCGTCGCACACCTTATGGCCTTATGGTCGAATAGGTGTCGAGTCACGGGACAGAATGTTGCACGCGCCTTAATTAAAGTTATTTAATTACCTTTGCACCGTGACCGTGAAGCCACCTCCTTACCAATGCGCGGCCGCGCACAAAAGTTGTCGCACGCCTGCCGGTTCGATTATCAGCGCGGAAAGTGTATTTACATGTGTTAGCATAAGCGCGACTCATTCGTGGCAAACCGTTTAAAACCATCGACAGACCGGCAACGTGACAGCTACTTTTTAAACGACCTTTTTTATTAATCGTCGCCGAGGCGACGGCGGTAATGGTGCTTTAAATTTATGCGCGTAAAATCATGCTTTCGCTCCACTGTATTTTCCTTGATCCGATTTGTATGCAAATCGACTTATTCGCTAGATTTTTTCGCGTTCTTTCTCCGCCATGGAATTTTCACCGGTTTTATTAGATCATTGCTTAATTTTTATTCGATTCTTGAGTGAATATAGGTACCCGAGAATAATATATAGAATAATAGATAGAATAATATATATAAAATAATAAATATATAGAATATAATATATATAATAATAATTAATATATATAGGATAATATATAGACTAATATAAATAATTATATTTCTTTTACGACAATTTCATGAATAAGCATTGAATAAAAAATTTACAAATGAGTTTATAAATCTTTCTAAATACTACACGTCTCTTTACATTATTTTACAATAATATAAATTTTCTTTTGTAATTATAGCATTGAATGAGTTAGCATCACTCTTCATTAAACTCTCCCATTTCCGAGTCATCTGCCGTGTTTCTGTTTGTCTAATGTTGCTCGTAATTGAATCTAATTAAAAACGTTTAGAAATTCTTACGACGTGTGAGCCGGTAAATTACTCGTTCCGTTCTGCGATCATAATGCTGTTGCACGCCAGGATACGAGATCAATGGGGGCCAGGTCACGTGGATAATTAGAGTTTAAACGGTTTCGCGATCGATGGGACGAATCAATTTCGCGAACGCTCGTCTTGCGTCAACGATGATTCGTGACCGACCCCACCCGCGATATTACCGAACGAAACCGCCGCAACTACGTTTGGAAATTATCCGCCGACCGAAGTAGCAGTTTACGCCCATTTCAAATTGCAGGCACAGTGCTCGAACCGATTACGCAGCCGCCGAGGTATAACGAAATGCAAATTCGTTAGCTTTTTTCCCTACCTTTACAACGGACATTGGCACAGGCCCGACTTGCGACACTTCTTGCCTCTTGTTAAATACCCACCGAGTTTATCGAGCTTTGGAACGCTGGCGGTCTCGGACTCCGGGATCCTGGAACTCTGAGGACTTGGAAGTCTGGAGTATTAGTTTGGGACCTTGCGTTTCTGGGAGCTTGGAAGTCTAGAGACCAGGAACTCTGGGTGCTTGGAACTCTAGAATCTGGGAACTCTGGGACTTTGGAACTCTAAGAACTTAGAACTTTTGGAGTTTCGAACTCTAAGACCTTAAAAGTTTTGAAGTTTGGAACTTTGGACTGGGACTTCGGAACTTTGGAACTTTGGACTGGGACTTTAGAACTTTGGAACTTTGGACTGGGACTTTAGAACTTTGGAACTCTAGGAGTCGAAATTCTGGAGCATTAGAACTTTTGGACTTTTGAACTTTCGAACTTTGGGATTTGGGGATTCCGGCACTCTGAGATATTGTAATTTTGGAATATCGAAACTTTGGGAATTTGTAATTCTTAGACTTTGGAACTCTGGGACTTTGGAATATTGGAACTTTGAGACTTTGGAACTCTAGGGTCTTGGAACTTTTGCTACTTTGGAACTCTGTGACTTCGAAACTTTGGGAGTTTGGAACTTTAAGTTCTTGGAACTTTTGCTACACTTTCGAACTCTGAAACTTCGAAACTTTGGAACATTGGAACGTTGGAACTTTGAGACTTTGGAGTATTGGAACTTTGGAACTCTGAGGATTTGAAACTTTGGCACTTTAGAATATTGGATCTTTGGAACTTTGGAACTCTAGAATCTTGGAACTTTTGGCCCTAGAATGTCGTGACTCTGGAACTCTGCGATCTTTCGATACTAAAAGACTTAAATCTTAAAGCTTTTGTGACCGAGAACACTGGAACTCTGGCACTCTGAGTCCTCCGGACTCGGGAAGTCAAAGATTCCGTAACTATCTTAAACTTCGCGTCTCTGTAACTGAGAATCCCAGAACACTGACGCTAATAGTACTCTGAAAACGGCAGAACCATAAGACAGTCTGATCATTGCGACTCGTGTAACCCATCGGAAATCGATTCGACTAGCTAGAACTGGCAAAGAGAAAATTAGAATGATCCGGCTCTGGAAGGTTCGCACCGCAGCTCTCCTCGCTCGCAAATCGCAATATCAGTTGCACAATCAACGCCTGCTATCGCGCACCACAAAATATTATCAATAATTTCCAAGTAATCTGCGCGGAAATCGAAAGGTGGTTCGGCACAGGGTCGTTCCACGTTCGTGGCTGTCTGCGGAGGTATTCGTCGAGAGCAATCATCGAGGGGCGTGGGGGGAAGGGGGCAGGCGAAGAGGACGAGGAACAAGAAGAGGAACGAACAAGATGCTTACGTCAGTTTTCTGATCGTGACTGGCTCCACCCTGCGTTACCGGCCGAGGGAGGCCAGACCGTGCCATTATTACCCTATTATATCTTGCATAACAGTAACAGTGAACGAAGTGAGCTATTACGCCGCGCTCGTCGTGGGGGTGGATGAAAGAAAAGAGGAGAAAGGAGGCCGTCTAGGCAGCTGTACCGCGCGAGACCCGCGGCGCGGGTGGAGGAGGACGAGGAAGAGTTCGTGGGTCGATGCGCCCACAGTAGGTGTCGGTGGCAAAAATCGATCCGCGCCGCTGCTAATCGATGCGAACTTGCGCCTCGATGGAATTAGGAGAACATTGTCTATTCCGCGATCGTTTCGTCTGATGGTCCAATTTCGACGGACTTCAGCGAGCGTGTTCCGATGAAGTCATCGGCGACGATCAACCTTTTGTCCGTTCTTATTCAACAGATTCTGGATCCTTGTTCGACGAAAAATGATCGTCCGGAAAAAAGTCTGGCGAAAGAAGCTACAATCATGGCTCGCGCAGATCATTTTTAACGTCTCGATCAATGCGCGTACGTATCCACTTTCTCTCCGCAATTACAGTCGCAGACAAAGGACCGTAATTCACAAAATATGCTCTGCGTAATTTCCGACGATCGCATTCACGCTAAACGAAGTCCCATTTCGAAGGATCAATGGGAATAATGAAGGATCATTCGGCTTATCAATTACACATTAAGCTCACCCGTCCGTCGAAACACGAGCCGTACGAAATTCCATCATTTATCAAATCCTCGAGCATTCTTCGCGCCGATCGGCCAAAATCCTTATAAGACGTTCTGTATAGCGATTAATGGCGCATCAAACTCTCGTCGGCTAAGTTCGAGAGGATCGTCCGCTCGACGTAAATCCTACTGACAGACTTGCTGGTTGAACGTACTCGAGAATTAGACGCCACTCGTTTCGAGATAGAACACGATGACGTCTCTGCCACTATATTTGGCGATGTTGTTGCCCATCGAATATAGTTTATGGTACAGCGATTACGTCGGTAATTATTGAGGAAGTATCAAGAAATAACCGACACGATGGCTCGAAATCGAAGACGATAAAGATCGTTCTTAAAAAGATCGTACTTGAAGAAAATACAGCAGTCGCAATTTCAAGTATTCTGGCTTGACAAAATTTCATCGCGTATTTCTGGCAATAGTAATTGCATGCGTGAAAGGACAGTTCAAAACACTTTCCAGGTTTCCTTTGGAAAATTCACATTTGAAGCCTGAAAACTGAGACGCATCCTTTTTCAAAAACGCCTTCTTAAAAATTGCAT